CTCTCTCTCTCTCTCTCTCTCTCTCTCTCACACACACACACACACACACACACACACACACACACACACACACACACACACACACTTACACCTCAACACTTTTGCTTCTCACCTTTGTCTCTTGCTCGCTGTTGTTGGGGTGTACGTTACCATTCTCCTGGGATTTTTTTTGCCTCCATTTCCCTCTGTGGCACTTTGTGTCGTTTCTGGTGTGATGCTTCTCGTTTCTGGGATTTTCGGGCTCCCTTCTTGTCTCCTTTCTGGTGTCAGTCTTCGTCCTTTATCATTCTATGTTTCCCGCCTTCCTCCTTTCCGAAGCCAAGCCCCATTTTGACCCCCCCCTTTTCATTCCAAAGTTCCATATTTCTGGTTCCAAGCCACCCTTTGTTCCTTTTGTTCCTTCTTTGTGGTCCTGAGCTCTATTCTGGTGTTCTATCTGGCCACAGTTGCAGCCACTTTTATCCTCCTCTGTTCTGGGTGCAAGTTCCCTTCTGTCATCTTTGGTGGTGTTCCAAGCTTCTGCCTTCTGGTTCCACAGTCCTGCCTTTTCTCCTTTTTTCATTTTTGCGCTCCCTTCTTTCGTCCTATCTGGTTTCAAGCTTCCCTTTTTTTGTGTTCCACAAGCGTGAGTCTTTCTCCTTCTTGTTTCCAAGCGTCCACCTTTCTGTTTCCAGACTCCCTTCTGTTTTTTTCCATTCTGCTTGCAAGCTCCCTCCTTTTTTGTTCTAAGCTTCCTCCCTTTTCGTTCCAGGCTTCCTCCTATTTGGCTCCAAGCTTTCTCTCCTCTCTGCTTCCCAGCTTCCTCCTTACTGCTTCCGGACCGCGTTCTGGTCACCTTTCTAGTTACCCTCTCGCTCCTTATACTTGGTGTATTTGCGTTCCATGCATGAGTCTTTTGCCTGAGTGGTCGAGGCAGAAGGGGGATGCTGGACGGTTTCGCAAGAACGCCCAGTACTTTTGTGTAACTGCACTCCACGTCCTCCACGAGAGTAAAGCCTCACATGGTGTGCATTGTCTACGTGAACGAATGACCCTTTCTTTTCTCCTTTCTCGCTTCACACTCCCTTTTTTTGTTTCTTTTCACGCCGCCTCCTTTTCGGTTCCATTCGTAGTTCGGGTTTCTCGCTGATTCCAAGTTTCCTCTTTTCTGTTGCCAGGCTCCCTTCATTTTCTCCCATTCTGGTTCCGAGCGTTGCTTTGTCTGCCTTGGAGCTCCTTTTCCCTTCTTTTTT